CACTTAATCAGTTGACAATCAGTGTCCGTAGGTATGGTATGTGCTTTGCACCTTCCAAGCGCAAAGTAATTCTAAAAGACTGGCAGGATTCCAATCCTGTACTCACCCTGGATGGTGAGCAGATAGACGTAGTCGAGAAGTTCGTGTATCTGGGTAGCTGCATAAGTGCTGGTGGGGGGGGTGAGTGATGAGATCAATGCATGTATAGTGAAAGCCAGAGCGGCTTATGCTAATCTGGGCCACCTTTGGCGCCTTCGTGATGTTAGTCTGGCTGTAAAAGGTCGGATCTACAACGCGTCGGTGAGAGCAGTTTTGCTCTATGCTTGTGAAACCTGGTCTCTCCGAAATGAGGACGTTAGACGACTCTCTGTGTTCGATCATCGCTGTCTCCGAAGGATTGCTGACATTCATTGGCAACACCATGTCAGTAATGCAGAGGTTCGGCATCGTGTGTTCGGGCACAGAGTCGATAATGCAATTGGTGTCACTATATTGAAACATCGACTTCGGTGGCTTGGACATGTTCTACAAGTGTCGTCCCAGAGAATTCCACGTCGTGCATTATTTGCCGACTCTGGGACTGGTTGGAAGAAGCGGAGAGGTGGTCAGTATATGACATGGTGTCGTGGGATGAAAGAAAGCTGCAAAGTACTGGCTTGTGTTGGTCCTTCACGACCCTCTGGCTGGGGTCCGAGAGATGGTGCAACACAGTGGCTAGAGACGTTATCAGATATGGCTCAGAATAGGAGCCAGTGGCGATCCTTCTTTTACTTTCTTCATAAAAAGTGGTTGTGCCTTCCTTAACTGAAAGATTTCATCTGACTGTACCTTTCCGTTCCCCCATTTTTGCCATTATTATTATTACACCACCTCACATTATTCTCTTCGTTATTATTCTCTCTTTTTCTTTTTTTCCTTCCCCTGAAATTCTCATTGTTTTGTGTGGCGCATATATATTTGGCGCATTCTTGTACCAATATTTATGTGTTCAAATAAATGTAAAACCTGGAAGGAGATCAATACCCGAGAACTCAGTCGACGAGAAAGTTATTTCCATCAGTAGATCTATGATGAAGTTAAACAAAAATGGGGAAAGTGGACAGCCTTGACGGACACCACTTGAGGTTGCAAAAGTAGATGACAGTTCGCCGTAAGCTCTGACTCGACTAGTAGTGTTCGAGTAAAGAGCCTTTACAAGGTTTATGTACTTCTGGGGTACGCCTTTCAATGACAGACACTGCCACAGAATCTCGCGGTCTACCGAGTCAAATGCTGCTTTTAGGTCAAGAAAGACCACTATTGTCGGACGCTGATAAGCATGCCTGTGTTCTAAAGCCTGGCGAATAGTGAATATATGGTCGATGCAGCCACGACCAGGTCTGAAGCCAGCCTGATTTTCTCGTGTTTGCAGTTTACGAGTCTTAGTTAGGTGTCCGATAATTATTGAGGCTAGTATTTTAGATGCTATGTTAATCAAACTAATCCCTCTATGGTTATCACAGGATGATTTTGACCCCTTTTTATATATTGGGACAATCAGTGATTGTGACCAATTAGATGGGATTACGTCCAACTCCCAGATTTTAGCTAAAATATTAGTCAACCTAATCGCTAAAATCGGACCACCATCCTTAAAGACCTCTGGAGCCAATCCATCTGGACCAGCCGCTCTTCCTCGTTTCAGATTAACTATAGCCTTTTGAACTTCAGCAAGAGTTGGGGGACCTACTTCAATGTTCCATTCACACTGTCTGGGAATGGAGGGTAGTTGTAGAGTAGCTGGAGGCCAGCCGAACTGCTCCTTAAAATGTTCCGCCTATCGTTCTAAACGTCTGAACTGGGAGCAGATGAGAGTGTCGTCTTTTTCCGAAATAATCTGACTTACTCTTGACTTATTAATTCCAGTTTCTTTTATTAGTCTGTAGAGCTGTCTTCTGTTCCCTATAGCCGCCGCCTTTTCCATCTCTTGCTTTCGTTGCCCACCACTGCTCACTGTCATTCCTTAAACTTTTGCTTAACCTAGATCTGATTTCTTTACGCCCTTCATCGTGTTCAGAGCCTGACGGGATGAGTTTACGAGAATTCATCAGTGCAATAGGCCTTGAAGAAAACCTTTGTTCCTTTGTAACCTTGTGGTTTAAATCACTGATAGATGTCAATGCTGTTTCCACAGCTGCTTGTATATCTTTCCAAGCAACATCTGGGTCAGCCTCGTTTTCAGAACTACCTAAGTTTGACCTCAGTTGTTCATGGAACCTACTTTTGGTTCTCTCGCTACTCAATTCATTTCTAACGGGTCCTTTTAGTGTGGCTTTTTTGCGTCCAGTGAGGCGCAAGCAGATGCGTGCCCGTATTAGGGCGTGATCGGAGTCCAAGCAGGTACTCCAGAATGAGCGACAATCTTGTACCGACCCTCTCCAACGATGACTGATGGCAATATGGTCTATTTGAGTCCATCGTTGGTTTGGTGCAGGCGGTCGCCACGTTAGACGATGTCTCTCCTTATGCTTAAAATTTGTGTTTGCTAAAAATAAGCGATTGTCTGAACACAGTTGAAGCAGACGGTCACCATTATCTGTTCGCTGTGCCGGAATGTTAAAATATCCACCTAAATGCCTTTCTGTTTGGTTTAAGCTACCTATCTGAGCATTAAAGTCACCCCCTACGAGTATTATGTCTGAGCGTTTAGCTTTCTGAAGAAGTTCAGAAAGCTTTCTGTAAAATTCATCTTTCACATCATCTGAGTTGCAGTCAGTGGGAGCGTAGGCAGAAACGGCGAAAAGGCAACGACGTGTGTCCCTATCCTTCCGAGTTTTTACGGAGCCGTTTAGCCGAACAGCACATAGACGACTGTTGACGGGGATCCATTCTAGCAGTGCTTGTTCCGCCCTCATGCTTAGTGCTATGCCTACACCTGCCAGTCCACGAGAACTGGCCATCGGGTCACCAGATACACGTAGGGTGTATCTCGTTGGCTCTCCGTTTTGCCGAGGTGAGGTTAAGTGAATGACCACACTGGAATCCTGTATGCGTGTTTCGGAGACACAGCATACATCAATGGAAAGAGACTCTAGGGTTCTAGCCAAGGAAGCCTGTTGACCGATTTGACATAGGGTGAGTACGTTGAACGCTCCAATGTGTAATTTGAGCGAGGTTTCAGTAGACCTGGGAGTGTTTCGCGCGCTAGAATCGTTGGCTATGGTGATACTTGAGAGGAAAGCCGTATTGATCATGAATACAGTGGTCTTGAGTGCTGTTAGAGGTATGAGGGTGGTTATCACTTCCCGTTTGCCCACACGGTGGGAGGGTTCTTCTGGTGCGGCCGAGAGTGAGGAGAGTCCACTCCCCCTCTCGAAATTTTCTCACATGGCCACGCGTATACAGCCACTGCCAGGGAAGTCCTACTCATTGCCTTCTCGCACCACGGGTGTTGTTTACGAAAATGAGGACGAAAAGCAAATATCCGGCGCTTTAACCGGATTCCAAACCAATGGTGCACATGGGCCCCAGTATCCTGAAGGAACAAATGGAGTATGAACCAATTTTCGGTCACCGGCAACCATGGGACTGCATCTCTTTACGATTCTCCACTGCCTTGTGGGTCAGACCTTAAGGTCGAAGGCTCCGGGTGTGGCCTCCTAAGAAAACCACCTGTTTCGGTCTGGGCACCCGGGCAGTATCACAGCCCTCACACATATCAAATGAGATTTGTGTGGCGCATAATGTATATGGTGCCTCCTTGTACCAATAACTATGTGTTAAAATAATAATCTTCTCGAGGTACCTGAAAAGGAAATTGCAGTTCGACTTCGCCTTCGGACCTTAAGTTTGTTGCTTTTAGTCTTACCGCTCTTCAACCAACCTGTCTGACACGGTAGGACCTTGAGGAACAGTTGTCCCAGCCAGTATACCTCGGCTGCTTCATTACAATAGGCAAGCCCGACCACCACGTCAAGGCAGCAACAACGGTCGGGTAGTTTTTATTTATTGCGAAACAACTGTCCACCGAATACTCCAAAATTGACAAGCATAGATTGTGAATGTTGGTTTCTAACGCAATATGGATTGATTAACTCCAACTGCTAATGTGTCTAGTATTATCAAAAGTTGGAGATAATATAACAAATAGCGTGTATAAACAAAAAAGTGGTCGGGATCGAGTTAGTTTTCAGTTGTTTGATGTTTACTTGGGGTAAAGTTCCTATTCTATTCTTCTTACCTTGGCTAAAGTTGAGTAAATGGCTAACATGAGACCAAATACTACCGTTTTACATTCAGAATGTTTTGGTCAGCTTTAAGCTACTAAACGTTTCTTATGCAACGGAACCAAGCCTTTCAAGATGGAGGTGCTCCCAATCGCTAGACAGTTAGACCCTAACTGAAGGAACACCAATTAATTTAGAACTCAACAACTAATCGCGTCCGGACTTACTACATGTATATGACAGTGGATAATTTAGAAATATTGTGCAATTGGAAATATTTTTGAAATACGACCTTTATCTGTAAGAACAGACTCGCTTAAAAATCACGAAACAAGGTTCAAGTACGTGGCAATTACCTCCTAAATAAACGAGGAAATGACTTTGATGAATGAGTACCTTGACACTAGAATGAGAATCTTCAAACCCGGAAACTAAAACATTTACAGAAGTAATGTAAATTACTAGATGTAATAGTGATTTCAATATGTAAACGGAAATAACTGACAGGACAAATAAGCACGCATCTGCTATGAACCTCAGATCCGAAACAAATCGAGGAACACGTTGGCGAAATTACAGAAAGCTATAATATCTCTCGAATTTTAACAATATAGGGTACATCTGGACAAAAAGAGATAACCTCTAGTCTTTAGTAGTAGGAATTGGTACATAAACGTCTACCAAACACAAAGTCCTGACATACTGAGAGAAGCGAATAAAATTAGAAAGATGAAGGTGCTGTTGCGCCAAAAAAGCTAGCTTGTCGAAAGTATATGACTGTTAAAAAATACTCACTTGTAATCTTTCATAAAGAGACCTGGCATCATAAGGGGCTTCAACTATACCCTCAGCCTCTTGAATCTTTTTTCTTGCTTCCACATCTACTTCAGATATAAACTTAGGCATCAGGTCAAAAATACGTAACGCTCAGTGTTCGATTGATTTAGCCCAAAACTCGTGATATGTTAGGCAGCGGGTATCTGCAGGAGAGAAAGGCAAGGGCAAAAGTGCGGCGACAAATGAGAAAACAGCTGGTATGTATTTACTTAAAACAATCTACCAATACAAGTGACAGAGCATGAAGTTAAAACAACTGTTTTCGGAACCACCGCTAAGTTTATCCAATATTCAATTTCTGTTTGAATGGTTCAAATGGTTTAACAGGGAATAGAGGAGGATTTCGCTTAACAGGCTTCCGTATTTAGTGTCAGTGGATCACCACTACCTCCAGAAAATAACCTAGGTGTATTATCTAGAAAAGCGAAAGAATAAATAAAACTTGGTAACGTACTGTATGTCACGTTTTCTCTTATAAGACTCCTGCGAAGTCGCATGAACTAGTAAGGCCGGCAGCGAATTCTGGCATTCGAATGCTCTTTAGGAGTACGAGGTGTGTCTAAAATAAATCTGCAGCATTTGATATATCTTCAGTGTTTACGTATAGTTTAAAGCGACTTCGTTCGCCCGCTGATAATTTACTCGAAAGCTCTCTTTCTGTCCCTCAGGAGTATTTAAGCTTAGTTATTGAGAAGATATGGTCTCCTAGAATTTTCGATTGAAATACAAATCTGTTGGATTAGCCTTTTGCGTCTACTCTGTGTTAGATGACAATCCAGGACGTGTTTGGAAAAAAACGTGAATGGGTTGATTCCTTCGGAGATTTGAGAAGCTGTTCCAAGTCTAGTCTGTTTGAAGTCAGAATAGATAAACAACTTTACACAAATAACAGAATATTGATCTAGGTACGTTTATGGCTCCAGATGCTGCGAAATTCACGTGTACTCAATCCGATTCCATGTAGGATTGAGGGTGCAGACTGGCGAGTATCAAACAGGGATGTGATAGGTACACCAGGCTCGATTTTCTTTCAATATATCATCAGATCATGATAGTTATCATCGAATCATTCCGTTTATTGGACAGACATTGAACATGACGGCTTTTGTTAGTGTTTATCTCCAGACAGTAACAGGGAGAAAACTATGAGTTGCCCAGGTCTAAAATATCAATCAATTGGAAGTTTCGTTGATCATATATATAACGTCCTCTACTTGATTACGGCAGAATATGATATACAACTAAGGGTACTCGAACGCGTAAAACCGCACAGCCGCAAATTAGAGTACGGAAGAAGCAGGAGAAGTGATTATCGTGTGAGAATCAAGAATGTACATAAAAACATGGGTATTTATAGTTATTAGCGTTGGTTTCAACACCATTATAACCCAGTCAATTTGCAAATAGGCGAATTATGCTATCGTCCAATCGTAGCATGCCACGTTGATATTCTAGAAAGCTCTATCAAACTCTGGTTGGATAAAATCTCTTCGGCTTCTTTAGAGCTTCTAGAGGCTTTGTCGTGCTTCTGGAAGCCAACCCTGTAATATATATAGTTCATATACTCGACACATTTATGTAAATAATATCTTTTACGAAATTAAGATAAAGATTTCTAAAACATGGCACTAGTTTCATTCTCGTTTTTATGCATCTGGAAATCAGGGTATCATAATTGATTTATATTCAGTGTATATGATGAGTTGTGAACTATGTTGAAATTAGTACACCATCTGGAATGCCAGAATAGTGGAACTAACCCCGAAATTATAGATTTATAATGATAAGAGTACATAATCCACATGATGTTACGTCGAAGTCACACCATAGTGTATACGGATTAATCGTACCTTACAGTCAGCAGTATGATGCCAAGCACTTCTGAAGAAACCATTTTAGCTGAGTATATAATGATATATTTATTATCATAGGAACAAACTACATAGTGACTGTTTTTGCATGGTCGAGCCATGCTGCCTCGATCCTGCATTCTTACGTTCACCATTTTTACCTTCTCTTAGTGTTACATACTGAATACAAATCTTCTCAGTAATTATGTGTTCAGATTCAAAGATTGTTTTGTTGGGAATCTATATACTTACATACCTTCCTAGTTAAATAGTTTTAACCTCTTGAAATACTTTCTATATCTTAATTATAGAAAGAGACATAAACGTGTTGTTTGTAGTGCTAAGTTAATCTCCGAAATAAATACTTCTGTTAGCTCTCGACATATGGTACTGACCCCATTAGTTTTAATAAATGCACCTAACTGAAGGTTCGCATTCACACATCCACACCACATTGCGAGTTGGTTTCGTCGCGCTATGCACCTCTTACAACAGTTACTCAGCTGAGATCAAATAATCCCCAGAATATAGATAGCCTTTCAAGTAAATCTTCGAACCTTTTCATTTCTGAATTCTGATTTTACTGGGTTGGCATGTTACGTGTAGAGACGTTGTTAAACTCCGGATACATGTGGCATCTTTACGTCGATCATCAACTTAGGCGATCCATGTCGATGACTGGAAGGCTATTCGAGTTGAATGGGAATGGCATAACCAACCAGCTTACATCAAAGTCACACTCTATGGTAAGTACTTAGGGTGGATTACTCCTGACTCATTCCAGAAAATATGGTCGTGTTGATGATCGTGCAACACAAACAGCGGTATCGCAGAAATATATTAGTAAAACTAGGTACAATACATACAGTTCGACCACTGAGGCATGTTCAAGTCAATGGTGTGTAGTTAACTGATACCCGTCGGTTCTCCATGACTTTGACGGTAATCGGCTAACTGCACGATATTCAGTGACCTCATAGCCTGACCAGTTGAGAAACGCCGTGACATCATACCGATCCTACAATGTCAAAAGGAAATCGTAAGACAAAAAGAACAAAAGTACATTAGAAGCGCAACACAAATCTTTTTTAATTGATAAGGGGTAAAAACTGATGAAACATATAGAAATCAACTGACTTGCAGCTACGAGCTACAAAGATATTGAAGCTGGGAATAAACTCCACATTTTCAAGTTATCTAAGTGTATCATAGTTAGTAGTTCCCATTATGTTCTCATTTATTTATCTACCCAGTTGTAAATATTTTGGAATTATTTATCTTACTTAAATAACTGGAGGTATTTTTATATGCTATGTGGTAATTTTTCTTTTATCATGGTTGACTGCCTTACACTTGACTCATCCTCAGCATGATGATGTGGTATTTTCCTTATAGAAAACGTAATATTTTCCACGTGAGCCATCCAAAACGATCAATAACGAAGCATGCCCTCCATCATAGATTAAGACAGTGTAGATGAAAATTCCTTCAAGGTAGGAATTGCGAATGAGAGGGAAGTTTATCTTCACCCAGAAATTGGATATGAGGGAAATTGGTTGTTGCGCTACTTGCGAAGACCTTGGGGATTTCCGTACAGTATTTATACAGTTCTAGTAACAATTGTGTATTTATTTCCTAGAGATGTTCCCACATATTTTGTTCTGCAAAACCACGCTGGTTTTAATTTGTTACTTTGAATCCTTTGACATCACTTCCGTTGGTGACAAGAAATTCCTGTGACCTAGTCTGAATATAAGACGGGAGTTTAACGGTATTTCATCTTGCAATCATGAGTTTCATGCTTCTTGGGTCAAAAAGCTTTGGGCTGTGCTATTTCCCACATTATCCATGCAATCAGTTTCCACGTAATTTCCCAAGCAAACAGTTAAGCTGAGGGTTTCAGGTCGTTAAACTAAAACTAAAGTAGTTCCACCGTTGCTAGTTGTTCAGCTAATGACCCAAAGTTGCCTTAGTTATTGTTGCGAGCCTTTAATTTGCCGATTTGGTATCTTAAGGAGTGTATTTGGCTGGTGGTGCTAGCCACGTGGCCAGCAACAAGACTGCTGTCTTCATAACCAAACACTTGTAACATAAACATGTAATATATGGTTCTGCTATGCATAGTAGTGTGCCCTACAATCACCCACGTAATGTACTATCGACCTGAGTGACTAGGTTGGGCTTTCCGCAAAGTGCGTGGTCTTTCCATGAAGTCACTCCGGTGGTGTGGTTGTAGTACTGTAGAATGAAAGTTTACCTATAAATTTGTATCAGTCCTACAGTTGCTAGGTCTTTTTCTTTAGTCTAGGATACGAGTGGAGTGCCCAATCACGGCACTACGAGTTATTAACTAGAGACCAAGCTGCTATCCTTGATTGAGGTTCAATGATTATGGAAGAGTGCATCTCACATCTACTAGAAAATACCTGTTGTTCAATAACTCAAGCGCCCCAAACTTTTGTGGGCATTAGTCGCTTTGATCTTATGGTGTTCAGTACCGCCATCTGTCTTCTGTTTTGATTATGAGTCCAGAACTCCCAACCCTCTAAACATATTACCAGGCCAACATGTTTTTACTTTTTATACTTGAAAATGCTGTAAATAGGCTCGAAGTGCTCGTTAAATTATGCATTATGCGTTTTTATTTGTCGTAAGTTGTATTTAACACATCTGTTTATTTATTAAGTTCCTAACTGGTCAATTGTACAAATCAGTGTTTATATTCTATTTTAGCAACCAATGCGATTCTTTTATGAGCACGTGTGACAGGGATTCTTATAAAATTTTTATTCAAAAACAGAAACTCGTTAAAAGATTACTCCAATAGTCGTCTTGTACTCATAAATACTCAATCCCCACTTAGACAACCTCTAACAGCACCCAAGACCACTGTATTCATAATCAACCTTCCTCTTCAATTCATATTATTCCTCCTACATCGACTTTCAGCCGTAAACTTCCTCCTTCGGCTTCCTCCTCAAGTGTCACCATAGCCAACGATTCTAGTGCTCAAAGCTCTGTCCCAGGTCTACTGAAACCTCGCTTCAACGTACTCACCCTATGTCAAATCGGTCAACAGGCTTCCTTGGCTAGAACCCTAGAGTCTCTTTCCATTGATGTATGCTGTGTCTCCGAAACACGCATACAGGATTCCAGTGTGGTCATTCACTTAACCTCACCTCGGCAAAACGGAGAGCCAACGAGATACACCCTACGTGT